TTCATTCACTGTAATCTTTAAATCCTTCCAAAGCAGAGAAGGAGACAGGAAAACAAAGAGGAAACAAGCAAATTTAAAAATGTCATACTGTGGTTAAAAATTAAAAAACTAAAGGTGGGTCTCATGAGACAAGAGTTTTATTTTTGTCTCCTTCAAACTTTCAGGGTCATCTTAGCCAACCTGCAACATCCCTGTACCTCAATTTTCTTAGCTGTAAAATGGAAAACATGATTTTAAATGACACAGCCCCACAGTGCACTGGAAATACGAATGCATTAGTATCTGTGAAGTATTTGGAAGATATTATTGAGTTGAAGGTATTATTTCAGAAAGCAGCAAAATTATTTCACAATTTTCCTATAGACTCCTAGAATAGTTTGGGTTGGAAGGGACCTCTAAGGGTCATCTAGTCCAACTGCCCTGCCGTGGGCAGGGACATCTTCAACTAGATCAGGTTAAAACCTGCCTTCACTAATTCTCTCTCGTTTTTATTACACTTTTCCTCTATTGTAGATAAAGGATCTCTGGTACTAACTCCATTTAAATGACTGTCTCCTGCATATCGATCCTAATCCTGCAATGAATTATTATAGCTCACAAAATAACGTTACAAGGCAAAATCCCAACAATCGGGGTAGCTTTATTTCAAACTTACTACCTAGTCATTACAATGACCTTACATTTAAGTTATCTTGTGTTTTAGGAAAAAAAAAAAAAAAAAATAGTAAGAGCCCTCAGACCATGGGACCAAAGAACCCAGAAAGGCTTTCAAAATTAAGTCTGGGTTCAGCATCTCTGGGAAAGAACTTCTCCTGCCAGCCTTTGTGAATAATTTTTCCAACTCTCTGAGATCTTAGAGGATTCTTTTCCTTCCATCACAGCCCACTGGGGTTCCTCCCATATGGGCCATGACTAGGTTTATCCTACCAGAAAGCTTACTCTGACTCATTACCGCTTTTTGTTCCCAGAGGCAGACACAGCCCAGAGCTTTCCCCAGAGCTCTAAAGAGGCGTCTGCCCACCACCTCCCAAAATGACAGACCTCTCCCCTCTCGGGGTGCACCACAGGTTCAGCCCTATGGGGAGAGCGTGCGTCAGCGTCGGGGTGATGCCTGACCCAGCTCTGCTTCTGCAAGGAGCGGTGTGGGCAGAGGTGCTCCCCGCACCTCCCTGACCGCCTGCCGCGCAGGGAGGATGCTTTGGGCCCTCACCCCGGCTCGGGGCAGGGTGCAGCGCTCTGAACGCTATGGCGAGAGGTCTTATGGACCATGGTGGCTAAAAGCACCATATGTCACTGGCTGGAGCAATAAATAGCAACAGTCTCGGGGCTGGCAGTCTGGGATATGCTTGCAGATAGTACCTAAAGCTTCTCTGCTGCCTGGAGAATTATAAATCCTAAAGACCTGACATTTTAATTGGTGTATTTTAATGAACTTAGCTATGCTTCCTTTTAACCTCCAAAGCTCTTCCCCACAAATATATATTTCCCCCCACACCATGATTTCAGGGGTGAATGAAGAGCCCAATCCCTTCAACAGGACTCCTCCTGTTGATTTTGGTTCTGAAGTCCTTAGGCTTTGCCTGTATGATTTCAGTTCTATTTTAAAGGTTTAGGCAATCTTAAGAGCAACCTCAGCTATTTTAAACTACATTAATTTGATCATATTAATCTACAGTTTGCAGGCTCAGAATTCAACATCCACAGTCAAAGATGACTCAGACTGCTCAATCCTTTCTGGATTTTTTTTTTTTACTTTTTTTTTTTGGAAAACAAACCATCTCACAACCTTCTGTATTACCTTTTCGGCAGTTGTGATTTATCCAACCAGACGTCAAAGACTTTCGAAGTTGGACGACCAACTGGAGAGTTGGATGACCAAACCTATTCCAGTGGGGAATCTAAATTGGTTAGACTCATTGTTTATATTAGGAATTTCCCCTCTTAGGTCGCAAACAGTCTGCTAGGGAACTGCGAATGAAGGTACACACTGGCCTTGAGACAAAACCACCCACATTAAGTAAATTTAAATCAGTGCTTCCTGCAGGAAACAAAGTGTTGTATTACTTACAAGCAGATTTGATTATGGTTTAGAGGATTGTTTAAACCCATTTAGCAGATCAACAAACACTGGTTGATATCTGATGCAAAGATCAACATGCTTGATGACTCCCATGTAAAAGTTTAGTGAAAACACAGGCCATAGTAAAGATGGAAACACCTGATCTCACCATTTTCTCAAAATACCTTCAGATTTCAGATTTTAAATTGAGGCTAAAAATAGTCTTATCCTAACATTTCTGAAATAAAATCAAGTTCACGAAAGCAATACCATGAATAAGCTCCCAATACCATGTTGGCCTCTCTCTTCAAGGCCATAAAAATACCCATTAATCTCATCGTCAAGAACACACCTAAAACCCTTTCAAAAAATCACAGCATCAAAGATGTCTTTATGCACATTTGTCTACTATAGCATCCAGTAAACATGCAGATTCATACAGCAGCATGCAAACAGCCTAGCAAAGAAAGGGTTAAGACAAAGAATATCCTCAAAGCAATTCCAATAATCCCTCTAGATCATTCTGTTTGTGAGAAGTATTCTAGCTGGAAAGCTGGACTGGTATCAGCTCAGAAGTTGTTGTTGATCTGACATAAGCCAAAGGTACCTGCAAACTGCAAGAAGGAAGTTGCTAGATAAAAAAAAAAAAAAAAAGGAGCAGAAGGCTCATGTTAAGAATCAGTTGCATCTCCTTTATTTTCCAGAAACAATTATTTTACTTTTAATTTCAAAGGGGCTTTGGGAAAAGATTGAAGGAAATACAGTTCATTTTAGCAAAGCACATATTGCAAAAAAGAAATTTAAAAATCTATTTTTGGGCTAGAATGGTTGAAGAAATCCCTGATTAGCCTCTTAATGGGGTGAGTCCAATTTAGTGAGAATGATCACCAGAGGGAGTCATTGACTTTCCCATTAAAGTCAAAGGGGATTTTACATACATCAGGAGTGCAGAATTTGGGGGCAGAGCTGAGAAAGATTCCAAACAGATTGGAGTTCAGGGACTAACACAAAACACTGTTTTATGGATTTCGTCTGAATCCATTTTCCCCTTTGGAGTCCCAAAGGATGACTGCTATATTCCACGGTGAAAGTTAGAGAGAAGGCACTGAAGTCATTCATTCAGTGGGCACACACTCCCACAAAAAAAAATCCCAGCACTTAATTGGTTTTAAAGTGGTTTGGAGTGGTGTAAGTACTAACTGCTCAGTTTTCTCTTTGGATATGCAACATATCACAGTCCTTCTGGAAAAGCAATTTTTAATAGCCCAAAGACCACCTCCAGGTGCCACATATGAGAGTGTGTCATACCTCTTGGGAATACCAGGACTTCAAACAGGAAAAGAAAAGAGTGAAAAGGAGACAGGAAGAATTGCTAGTATGTTTTTTTGGGTTGTTTTCATGGGTTGTTTTAATTTGGTTTTTTTTTTTTCCTTCAATTTTAGTGACGAAAAGAGGAAGTAAGAATAGGGATTTGTGAACCAAGTGGTAAACTGAACTAAGTAGATGAACCAGTCTACTCAGCCGTGAGCAAGTGTGTATTTCACACTCAAACACCAAAATTTCATGACCTTCAAAGAAATATTTTCATGTTAAGAACTGGGCTTTTCCTTGCTGGACTTCCGCTCAACCTTGTTCTTGCCACAAAAGCCCAGCAGACTTTGGTTTGAAAACAAGCTCATTGACTAGGCAACTTTCCCCTTAATTCTGTACAATAACATTATACAGCAGAAAATTAGGAGATTAAAAAAAGGCAAGGAAACAGCCCCACCCAACGAAATGCAATTTCACTTCCCTAGAAATGTCCCCTGAACAAATGGAATTCAATTTGTTTCTGTGTTCCCAGGTAATGGCAGCACCTTGTTTTGCTTGTTTATTTAATTACTACTTCTTGTTCATGCAATTAGCTGAGAGACTGCAGCCTTTTGTTCATTATGTTAACCATAACACAGTTATTTGCATAGCTGTTTCCATTTTGAGGCTGAATTTTGGATAGAGGCTCTATTTTGGGCTGTGGCAGGCAGAACCACTGGGAAGCCTCATGCAAGGGCAGCATGCAGCAACCTGCTCCTTCGTGGAGTGAGTCGCTCCAGAAATCGCACTGGCTGCCCATCTGCTTCTGACGGCAAATCAAAGCCCTATTCCCAACATGCGCTGCAAAGCACCGCATGGCTTAAGACCTGGTTGTCCTTCATCGTATGTACCACCAAAAAACAGCTGAGTTCATCCTAAAGCATTTTTGCCAACAGGCTGTCCAAGCTTAACTTTACTGCCCTTTAGAATGGTACAAGACATCACTCTGGTCAACGTGTGCTTGATTTAAAATTATCAGTACTCTTATTGTGGTTGGGTGAAAAAAATTTAGAGATGGAGGCTACTTTAGGCTTTCTTCCATGAACAGTTTGATTTAACATCCAGTTGAGTCTAGCACTGTTGTGATGCTCAAATGAGTTGTTGCACAGTTAAATCTTCTTTTAAACACTCAAGATATATCCCCAGATCACAAAGTTTAGCAGAATGCTGACCCTCTCCATTAATAAATGCAGCAATCGCTGCCCCCCAAGTCCTCCGAGTTTCTGGCAGTGAACTGATGTCAGCTTATTTTTATCTAGGATGTTCAGAAATTGAGGAATCTGCACCTTCTTACAGAAACAAGAGGCAGAGTCAGTGCCGGTGGGAGTCTGCATGCTCTGGTGCGCGGGAGGCACCTTCATCTCAGCCTCCAGGCACCTAAACACCCCCAAAACTCTACCTCTCGGGAGAAACTGCACACCAACTTACACTATTTGAAATATAGAGAACTGGAACAGACAGCTTGGAAAAATTGTCAATCTTTGTAGTTTACAATTCAGCCTTCATGTATGACCCACAGCTGTGGTTAGAATTAGTTCTGTAACCAATTGCAGCAAGGCACAGCCTATTAACGGCATCGTTTTAACCCTACCTGTGCCATCTGCCTCTCCAGCTTTGACCGGGGAATATCATCAAAATAGTTTTCATTTCTTCTTCTCCTTGCATCACCCTGCATGATAATGTGGGGAACGTCCAGGGAGCCACCAGTAGTGAAAGTGCTTTGGCTAAGTGATGGAGACAACTGAGGAGGAGTGTGGTTACCGCTGGGTTCCTGGACAGAGAGGAAAAAAATGCAGCATAAGAACAGCAGCATATTGCTGACTTAAAACCACACATTTAAAAGTGTATTTGAATTATTCATACTAAAAAAATTAAGGAACAATTCCTGAAGTAGAGGTTACTGTGGGTAAACTTTTGAGATTTGCTACCTAAGGTGCAGAGCCCATGTGGAAGGAAAAATAATTCACTATTTACATGAACTACTGGCAAATTCCCTCTCCAAAACCTCCTTGTGTAATATATAATCCCTTCCAGGACTGCTAGAGAGATAAAACAGTGAGTTACTTCTTGTCAAGACGCAAATAAAACCATGATTTAGGACTAGCTATTTGTAAGATGAAATACATTCTCACCACTTCTGAGCAGCCACTCTGAGCAGTGAAAGTGATTTGAAAGTGATTTGAACTCTAGCAACATCTCTTGCTGGGAAAAAGAAATGCATGAACATTTACAAACTATAGACACTTTGCAATTTTTCTAGGTCTTGCAGAACATCCGTTTAACTTGAAATACTGGATATCAGAAACAAGCTAAATAACAATTCCTAGAATGCATGAAAGCATCAGGGTACAAATATTTCACCAGGCTTGTCTTGTAATCTGTGCTGAACTGTGACCTTGTATCAGTCAATGTGCAAATACCACAGGGAATTGATACATGAACTCTCTCTAATAAACAGCTAAGCATGTCCTCCCAATTATATGTTTTACCAGGATCTGCCACCACACGGCTCACAGCCAGCCACCATACATATGTTTGGAAACACCTATTCTCATGCACATCACATCACTTGTTGGTGCCCAGCTCCACCATTCAACAGTCTTGGAGATTGCAATCAGCAGAAGCAGAGCTACAGTGTACTGGCCAGCCAGTCTGCACACATACCACCCCAGTGTGGACTGTAAAACACTGTCATAGCAACTGGATGGGGAAACATGTTCCTCTCTGACGATGTAGGTTACTGGGCTCAATTTATCTGACACTAGAGAGTTCTCTGACAGTAAGTTCTTTCGAGGCAGAACGTACCCAAGAGTGTGTTTGCACAGTGCAGACCTTGTCTAAATTACCTATTGCTGTAATACTGCATTTCAATATTGAACAACAAGAAGGGACCTGAAGATATTAGAGGAAGCAAAGACCTGCTCCAGTGTGCATGGAGGGTAAAAAACCCTGCCTTTTTATTTAAAGAAAGGATTAAGGCGGATATTTCATGCACGATTACATTGAAGCAAACCTAATTCTGAAAAGCGTCAAGGTACTTTACTCCATGCTGTTAAGAAACAAGATCTGGTGTAAGAAATCAGAGAGCTGTTATTTCTTCCAAATGGAAAGGAAAGTTGCAATTCTCTGTATGCGTTCAACTGATAGCAACATCTGATGTTAATACTTGAAATGTAGGAGTCTACGTGACATTATTCCTTGCAATCACAATAACAGATTAGTATTTTCCATGTTGGTTGGCTAAAATCAGGGATATATAGTTTTTAATTCTCTAGCTTTCCTATGATCTGAGACAAGCACTTGACATTTCCCAGGGCAAAGAAAGGAGTGTTTTCCTCTTAGGAATAGTCTTTTTCCCTCCTTCACGAAAATCCACCTACATTTGGCCCAGTTAAAAGCTTCTGAAAAGCTGTAATCTGCACACACTCAGAAGATTTGGTGAGGCATAATGTCTAAAGCCTACCCCCAGTTCTTCCACGGGCCCAGTTCTGACTAGATGGTGCAGACGCCTCTGCCCTGAAAATAACCTGAGTACAGGGGCACCAAACCTTTCTAATGACTGCTACCTGCCCCTCCAGCCAGGTACGTAACCTCTCTTTGATCTGAATCACAATTCACCTACTGTTAGTAGACTGATAGGGCCATCAGCACATTGAAGTGACAGATGACCGTGCAATGGATATACAGATTCCAGCTCTCATCGAGCTTTTCGTATTTTATCAAACTGTATCTGAAGAGGAAATTCACTCAGAAATCTGTATCAGAAGATTGCTGGCAAGGCAATACAGAAAAGAATTATAAAGTCAAGAAATAAAAGAAGTACGGTGCCTCTGCATTATGGAACAGTATATAATTGTATGATTTTATGCTATTTTCTCAAAGTCGTCCTTCACAGCACAGATGGATCCTCAACTGTGCAGCATGTTGTCATATACTCAGCACTGTGTTATCATTAGTTATCGTGTAGTCAGTATTTTATTCTCACCTCATTTCGTGGCCCCAAACCTCTTCCCTAAACTCTATTCAAATCGTGCTCTGAAGATAGGATGACTAATATTGTCATTTTAATGATGCTCGTAAGTGCTTTACAAACGTCAATCAACTTATTTTCACCACACCCTGTGACTTCTGGCATTTTATAATCACCACTTCAGTGTGGGGGACCTGAGACACACAGGCGAAGGTTAAAAAATATCAGTCACTTTGGATGCCCAAGTACAATATCTGCTGCCTGATTTTCCAAGTGCTTATATTCAAAACTCCACTTCTATTGATCTAATTTGCAGCACTGTGTGCTCAGCTTTGTATAAATCAGACTCCAGACTCCAGTCAAATACGCAGAATGTTGGTAACACACAGTTAGTGACTGTTTATGAGGCAATTACCTAAATAACTTACCAAGCGTTATCCAAGGGCTTTGTGGCAAAAGCAGGTGTAAATCTGTATTTTCATAGCTACAGCTATTCCTTTAATCATGAATCTCTCTCCCATTCTTCCTTCATTCCTCTTCCTCACTCCATACCCACGTTCTCATCTCCTTTACACTCCACAGACCAGGCACGGATGCCCGTGCAGGTGCTATCATGTACTCAGTACCATGCTACTGTTAGTCACCAGGTATTCACATCACGTTTCCACCCTGTTGTGAATGCATGGATACATGCCCTACAGGGATGCCTGATCATATATTTCACTGTCGAAATCTGCTTCATCCCCACCTCTCAGTCCTGCCAGTCACGTAACGCTGGAACCACACAGGTCAGGGCTGGAAGGGAGCTTAAGAGATCCTTCCCCAGGCTGCCTAGGCACACCTCATGCCCCACAGATGTTTGTGTAACCAGTTCCTAAAAACAGGAATCCTTTCTAATGAATTCATTCTTGTCTTAAACTATCATTACTATTGTAACACCGCTTCTTCAAATTTTCAGTCTGAATTGTCATTCCTTCAGTTTAAATTCCAGCTTCCAGTGCCAACCGGGCGAGGATGGGGTTCCATGAATAACATGGAAACTGGTCCTGTAATTAAAGACCATAATGCACTCAAGGAAGGAAAGCAAGATTGCATAGGTGACCTGAGATTCAGCATTTTCTAACTTTTGAGTATATGATTTTGAAATCAAAATAACTTTTCCTTAGTACACAGTTATTGTGGCAATAATATATTTCGTGGATATTTTTATGTTTGTTGCTTTTCCTCAATATTTAACCATTTTTTACTTTGAAAGATTTTAAAAGCTAATACAGAAAGAGTTGAAAAAGATTAAGAGAGTTAGCCATGCTTAGGTTGACCCTGGGACCTTAAACTATCTTTTCTAATAGATATAAATTGATCTTTTAGTAGCCACAGATACTTTATTTAAACCAATTTTCAAGCTAAAAATTATTGCAAACTACAGACTAAATACTATGTCCTCGTTTCGTTTGAAATGGCATAGTAGCAGTTGATGGGAAAGAAAACCTTAATCCAAACTCAATCCAATCCTCCTCTTCAGGATTCTCTGTGAAGACTCCAATACCACGAGGTGATGAATGACATTTAGCACTTGCCCGCATCAGTAGCTTTAGCTGTGGAGCAGCAGACTACTTTTTATCATTTTGACTACAGGTGGAGGATATCCAGTTTCCTCTTCACTATTAACTGAGAATATACAGTCCTAACCAATAACATGGGCTGTGGAAACTTTCCCACCTGCTGAAGAGGAACTAATTCCCCAGTCCAGAGCACTGAAAGTATTGAGCAAAAATGTGCGACTTTCAAATGATTCCTTTTTCCTGGGAGTGTTTTAACACCTGCCATGCATCAGGAGATCATTCACATAATGCATCAAATATAAAATACAAGAAAAATATCCACACATTTGTGCAATGTGCCTTAGAGCAGGATGTTATAGACTTGTGAGACCTTTTTCAACATGGCTGGTCATGGAAATTGTAAGTGTATGTAAAAATAAGCCCTCATTCTGTCTTTCTCTATTTCTCTTTACATCAGGAAATTCAACTTGGGAGCACCGACACTCTCTGACATTTGGAAATTTAGTTCCAAATGAGATTCCAGTCAGAAATGCAGCCCCATGAAAATAATCAGATCCAATCACATGCAAAAGGTGTGACCTAAAATACCAAAATAAAAAGTGTTGCTATGAACTCCGTTGGAAAGAACACAGTAGGAATGGGTCATCAGACCACAACTCAGTAAGGGTAACAGACAGCGAGGAAGCAAAGGCATTGGATTGGAGAAACCGATTGAAGGTGGTGTAACGAGAGGAGATTAAATCTGGTCAAGTGTGGAAAAACCCCAGGGACATTGCAACAAGGTTTCTGAAAGAGGGAATACAAATGAAAATTAAAAATGTGACAAACTTTTGATACACAGAAACATCTTAATGGCATTTGTATCTCAACAATTTCAAGAAGCTCTCTTTGAAGACAGCATAAAGCATAAGCCTGAAAAGTGCAAGCATTTGAAAACATGAAAGGAAAATGGTAACTCTCCTTCCGCAATATCGATCGCCTGGGCTGGGATTCCTGTGGGCAAATGTAGACGTGTAGCTTGTACACACCTGCTCCCGTGCTAGTTTCTTGAGCAAAGAAGATAAGCTGGTACTTCTAAGATACTACTTATCTCAAACTAAGGTAGACATCTGAAACAGGTCAGGTGAATCACCCTGTAAAAATATCGATTTATCTCCGCTGGCTATACAGGGAGGTGCGACTGAGCAGGTCAGCCTAAGATGTCTACACTGTAAACTTCTGAAGTGAGGTAAGTTGAACCCCACTCGAAGCGGCCGTTGCTTTCATGTGAATGTTATGAAACGCTTGCTGACTCTTTGAGAAATGCAAATAAATTTTCATGGGGACTCACCCTGAGGGTTATTGACCGAGGTGGTTTCTGAGGAGGATCTTCGTGAAGCCTGTCTCCCAAAGATGCCAGAACACGCTTCCGGTGGCCGATCAAGCTAATTTTTAAGACCTGAAGTAATAACAAAAATACTTTGTTAAAATGAACACGTTGCAATCATTAAATGATTGAAATCATTGTAAAATGAAGGAAGAAACCAAAGCAGGTATAGATATAGAAAACTGAAAAAAAAAGTAGGCTCAAAAATGAGTAAGGAGGAAAGAAAAAAGAAGCAGGAAGAGAAGGCAGCAGAGCAGGAGCAAAAACAAGGGACGGGGAGGAGGAGACTGGTGAAGGAAATGTAGAGGTGCAGGCAGTGAGTGATGAGGATTAAAGGGATTCACAGGAATGGGAGGGATGAGGAAGACAGTGAGGAACAGCCAGCGAATGCTTAGAGAGGGCAAGATGGGAGAAAAGGAACCGCACAATGAATAAATATTATCACTTTTAAATCTATTCACTATGCCTTTCACAGGTAATCTCCGAACGACACGTACAGTTTGCGTTATCGTGTAGAATCATCCTTGCGTAAGAAACACAGGAGAGACAAACTTTGTCCTGGAGGTCTATTACTTTTATCAGATGCAACGAAAAAAAAATATCTCTGTTGCACACAAACATGATCATCAGTAGAAAGGTTCAAATACCTTGTGCTTGTCCAAACTCCAAGAACACGTCCAAAAAGGTGTTCCAAATTTACTGCAACTACTCCCCACTTATATCTCTCCGTGTCCCTACCACATACAAAACCACCACTGCTCTCAGGAAAACAGAGAGGGCAGAAGCAGAAAGTTGGAAACTTAAGCATTAGTGGAAAAAAAATCATATTTCGATGCTATTCTTTAATGGCTACAATGGCTTCAAAGTGTAAAGCAGCCCTAATTGTAGAAGCAAGCCTCTGCTCTGCGAACAGCAGTGTCCTCACGTAACTCTTCCAGACTGTATATATGGTTTCATACACCAGAGCTGCCTCCATTCCCTCTCAGAAGACAGTACTTCCCACTATATTTAGGACCACTGCGTGTTAACACCCTTCAGTCGAGAGGAATTTCTCAACCTAGAAAAAGTAATAGTCCCCAAAAAACCCTGAAAATGCTACCTCTTAAGTGAACAACTACCTCAGTTTAAGCAGTGCTACTAAGAGCTACCATTCCTGAGAACAAACAAGCAAAAAAACCCCAAACCCCAACAACTCTCCTACGGCATCTCTTAGATCCAGTATCTCAGGATATGGTACAGCAACACGCCATCATTATTCTGGTGGGTGAACTCCTGCCTATCCGTGGGCACGTGAAGTTGTCCGCACTTCCTCTGTTGGATGTCTCCGAGCTGTCTGATATTGTTGAACATCAAGAACATCTTGTTTGTCCACATCTACAAAGTGATGGGCTATGACATGAAATAGATCGAGGCCTTCCTCTGAGACGCAGCTTACAGGGTTGTTGCAGACCCTGCAGCTCAACAGCAGACCCAAGCTGCAGAGTCCCACAAGCCTGCTATGTGCTCTCTCTCTCCTATTAGTCTAAATCTGGAGAAGCACGAGTGAAGTGGAGATAGCGCAGCACACACAAAAATGCCGGAGGGATGCAGGAGACTTAGTTACGTATTCAGTTTACATTGAATGTTAAACAGAAGGATGTGCAGTTTATCTCCGTATTTAACTATATGAAACACATGAATGAACTACAGCTGCTTTAAGCATTACTCAGGTAATGCTCTTCAGTGAACTTGCTTCTTTCATAATGCTTCCCCATCATCAAGAGCAACCCAGAGATTTTTAAGTCAAGCTACAGTTCTTGGGTCGTTTCGAGGTCCTCAGTGCTCTGACTGCCTTATTAGCTATATCAAACCACACGAAGCAATTCTCTTTGACTTCACAGAGCTGTTGAACAACAGGAGAGAAAAGGACATGAGTCTTGAGGGACTTTGCACATAAGAGATCAGCAGGCGGGTCTAAATGGCTACGTTATTTCAAAACTGTGCTCAATTTGAAAGCAATACAGATCTTTGAACACCATAAGCGCTGCTAAGCTTATTCCACATTTTGTTTTTCTGTTAAAATGGTGGTCACCCCAAATCTGAAGTGGTAGGGATTTAAAGATGCAACCTACAGAAACATATGGTCCTTAGCCAATAGGCAGATGCAGCCCAGTTTCATCTGGACCACATACTCTGTTAACTCATTCTTCTGGAAATGGACTCCCTAGTAATTTTCTTACTTGGAAAACCTGTTGCTCAACTTACAAATATAAAATACTGTTTTCTGAAACACTTCTATATTTGAGTTATGAGAGTTTAACAAACACCCTGCAATTCTGAAAACTTGTTCTGTGACGGATTATCCTTGACAGTATTCGTCATGAACGTCGAGTATCACAAATATAGGTCAAAGGTGTGCAATGGTAAAGTTGCCTAAAGCAGTATCTTAGAAATATCTTAGTGTTGTGTATCAAATAACCTTTAAAAGTCTTGCACTTATTTAGCCCACCAGTTAGTTCCCCATGAATATTTTCTATATACCAGGTAAGAGTGAACATAGTAACACTGAACTATAGGGACAGGCAATACAATGCACCTAAGTGCTACGCAGCGAAGCATTTTGCCAAATTGATTGTAGCCTACTTCATATATGACAACGAAATGAGTTTTCCAGGGTGGCTGCAGGAATCAGCTACAACATGTCATGGAACTGTTAAGAGTAACTTAAGCCTCTCCACAACCTGCTATTTTGTAAATGGGAAAAAAAAAAAAAAAGCCTGTACAGACATGCCTCTTTCCACACCACCAGTAGGATACCCGAGACAAAAATAATGCAACTCCATCTCATATATTCTCTTATATTTGATGTTGTTATACAATTGAAGGAGAAAGGGGCAAGTCATTTGTCTAAAGAAATGACACATGCACACAAATTTAATCCTATTTTTACCTCCATATTCTCCAGTGATTAGCATATGAAATGGAATGAAATTCCACCAGGAAATGTAAGAAATCCAAAAATGTAACCAATGCAATACTTTGCATTTAGATGTCTGACTTAGTTGACAGATGTTTTAAAAAACAAACGCATGCAGCCCAATAACTCCCTGATGACTGTATATGTGCAGATGCTGCAAATAACAAGTTATTCCATCTAAAACTGAGCATTATTTCTACAACATTCTTCTGCCTGAACTGTTCTTTTAATTGAATAATATGATCCAATACTGTATTTTTATAATTATTCTACATTTTTTAAAATGGGTATTATAAAGATTACTGAAATTCAAGGCATCAATTTCCTTTCTTTTGGAATAATCTGAAAAGTTACCGTATGGGGTAAAATTAGTACCATAATAGTGCAAGCGGTCTGGGCTAAACTTGCAGTGACAATCAGACACTAGGAACCAGCTACAAAGTGGAAAACTAGAGAGTGATCAGAATAATACTAGTAATTCTCTAGTGGCAGCATCAGACACTTCAGAATTTAAGAAGAAAAAATGGTAAATAAAGGCCAACAAGGTGTGATCTTCCTATTTCTGCAAGTAAACAGCCCCAAACGCTAGCTAAATTCAATTTTATTAACCATTTTACTGCTGATCATATTGGAATAAACTCCAGGCTATCTGGAATTGTGGGTGAAGAATTCATTGATTATTACCACTTCCCTGCCACAATGACACCCCACAGGGCTAACCCTAAAACACGACAGTGCCCAGAATACCCAGGAAGCAAGCCCAGACCAACCAGTACAGCTTGCCTGATCATCACGACTGGTTTAACTGAAAATTTGAGAATGGATTAAATACACTTGCTATATAAATTCCCAGCATGGACAACTGTTCAAAATTTTACAAGTCCTATCCACAGAACTGCTGTCAGTGATCAACAAAAAAAAAAAAGCCAAAACCCCCCTATACCACATACTGACCATGATTACATGATGTAATAATTGGCATATTTTGAAAGATAAATATGCCCAAGTCATTAAACTTTCACAGAAACAACTACAGTCACGACACTGCAGAGCTGATAACTGACCCCATGCCCCAGTACTCCAGCTGTGCTAAAGCCTGTTGTGGGATGCTGCAGATGCAGGAGCCCCGTTTACCAAGTGGGCTCATTAATCTTATCCTCCCCACAGGCAAGGCCCTGTGGGATCGGCCCTAGGCCCAAAGTAACTGGGAGCTGTGGAAAAAGGCATGCTCGCCATCTCTCCCACCCCCTTCTCCTCTCTTGCGTTCAGGACCACAAAACGTGCAGGCAGAAGAAAGCAAGAGCTGCGCCACGCAGCTGCGATATTGAATGCCTGGTGGTTTACCAATACCGGACGCAGCCAAATCCAGTCCAAACCATATTAAACTTTTGTTGCATTTTTTTCACATAGGGATACTTTACGATCTTTCTCATCCTGAGTGCAACTGCCGATTCCTTCCAACCATAAATTATCACAAACCCTTGCCATTTTTAACAGTGCAGGGCTTTTTCTGTAGAGCCCTGACCGCCCAGCAAAGTGCAGGCATGTGAAAACAGAGAGGATCCAAAGCACCTGCAGATCAGAGACTTGCTGCAACTCTGCTAGATGCAAGACTTCTCTGGTTTCTACAACTGCAGTGGAAGCAATTGTTTATTGTACCTATGAAGAGACTTGTAAGAGACTTACGATTTCATAAGATGCATCATAGTGATAAGAAATATGCGCCATTATCCCCCTGAATTAATTACCCAACTGGAAACAGATGTCAGTTGTCTTGGTGACAGCATTTCACAAAGACAGATGGCTGCCTCGTAAGTCCCATTTCTATACATTATCATGAGGAACTGACATGTGTTTGATTCCCCCCTCCCCGCTTCAAATATATTATTTAGTTGCAGATTACCAGTTTAATGGTACTGAGAAGTCAGAGGCCAAAAGTCTCCTCCAAGTAAAGGTAATTTTGAATCCCGGGTTGTTACACTCCTCTGAGCTGCACTGCTGCAGATTAGCTTGCTGCCAGAGCAGTGGTGTTACAATGCTGTTCAGCCATTGCCATCCCAGGTCACATTCAGGCGGGTGAGGATTTGTTATTTTTTGCAGAAGTTCTCAGGTCAGC